TGTAAGGAAATATCCTGTGCTTTATGATAAACGTTGTGCAGATAAATTGAAGAAAACTCTTGCCTGAAAAGATATGGCAAAAGAATTGGGACCAAAAACACCGCATGTTTTACGAGAGAACATATAAACAGCAAATACGCTCAATGGATTTCAAACTGTTTGCAGTATAAGCTTACATTTTCTGTTGCATTGAATAGGTACTTGCAATTTTTGGTACGAAAACCACGAAAAGTAGACTTACTGCGGCCAAAGCTTAAATCTGGTCCGCCGTCTTGGAAAAAGTTTTTACTGTCCTTAAGTGCGCCTGCGTGTCTTGCCTTCCTTAAATTTGCGTTTGCATTTGCGTCGCACCAGTGAACAAGGTTTTACATGTAACTTCCCCAGAAAATAAACCCAGTCTTTCACAATCGAAAAAATTAATCCCGCAAAATAAAAATGAACAATAAGCATATGAAAGCATCGCTACAATGCAAAATTAAACTCTCGCAAAAATTTCGGGTGGGAAAGGAATGGGCGCTTTCCATTTAGGAAAAAAACCCGGAAATTTCGGTGGTAGCAAAAGTGGAATTTCCGATTGGTAAAAAGTTGTTCCATTTGGTCGTAAACCCCGGTACGTGGCGGTGCCCGACCGTGGACCTGGAACTGGCACCAACTAAGAGAAACGTAAATGGAACACGACATTCCGTTCGGAAATTCCAACCGGGAAAACGGGACCACCTTTTTAGATTTTCCACTTTTTCTGGGAATTTTCCAGTGGGACGAATCGACGAAAGGTGTTCCATTTAGCGCCGAACCGGGAATTCCGGAAATTTTGACTAAATAGAAAGCGCCCCGAAAAAGTGTGGAAGAAAGAATGGAAACGAATGGAAGACAAGCGCACCAAGCATTGTGGGTGTCGATTTGGGGGTGTTGAGGTTTGAATGAAGCTGGCAACTTGTCCTGCTGGCTTTGTTTATGGTGGTTTTATTGTACTCGTAAAATAGCAACAAATTTGTCCTAAAGTAGAATTTTTAGCCTCAATAACATATATGGGTAAGTAGCTGCTTATATCGAAGAAAGATGTAATTTTGACCAAGCTAAATTTGCGTAGCGTTTAATACCGCGATTTTGATCTGTTTTCGTTGCTACAAATCCTCGGATTTTCAGATAGAGCGTCTGACGTTCGCTGCGGACGATGCAGGGAGATTTGCAGTGGGGAAACTCTACGATTTGGCGACAGGCTCTTCCACGCAAACTGCCTGCTTTGCCTAGGTATGTTTAAAAATTATTGGGAGATTTCTCTCATCAAATTAAGCCCGCGCGTTATTTTATTTAGCGTCGCGTGCCGTTCATTTTCCAGTCTAGTCATTTTCGGCACAAAAATTTTCATGTTTGAAATTCATATCATTTTTGGCTGTAACCAATACTTTGTGTGACAGAAAAGTCGGTATTTGTGGTTTTCGGGATTAATTTTTCTCTTTTCCAACATTCCTGAAGCGATTTGATGCACATCTATTGCATCTAATATTTGAATATTCTGATTTTCGTCCTCTTGTAGATGTTAATTTTTTGCAAGTTAATATCCTTGCACACTAAGTCATTTTGTCAAGCAATAAGACACGTAAAATAGATAAATCAAACGCCGAACAATAATTATGAAGCGTTAACAACTTTTATCGTATTATGCACTAAAAGCTGATTCAATTTTACTGTTTGAAATCAAAATTTATGTGAGCAGTCTGCAAACAGAGCTTATTGTAAAGTATAAAACGTGAAGTTTAACTTGTTTTTGTTATTCAATAGATATGAAGTGAGGCTTTGTTTATGTTTCCACCCTCTTGCATGCTTTTAGTTAACAAAATAATACTTGAAATAACGTGCAGTGTAATTAAACATGATTTATAAATGATTGTCAATTATTTAAATTTTTTAAAAGTGTAAATAAGGACGAACCTAACTTTCATTCTCTGAAATACACCTAACCTCTAATTATATTTAAGTACTTGGAAGGGTTCAAGTTGGAAATAACAGAAGCAAAGAATGAGAGCTATTAAAATTTATTGTCATTTGAGCAAAATGCAAATGCTTTTTGTGCTCTTGATGTATTACTGAGAACAATGTATGCTACCACAAGCCTCATTGAGCCGGGTTCTAGAGTTCTAATAAGAAATATTGAACTCAATTTAAGGCAGTTATGGTTGACTAGAGTGGACAAGAACTACCACAGTTGAGAGTGGAAATAGCAACCCTTAAGGTGGGCGCTAGGGCAAAGGAAGGAGAAGGACAAAACATGCATGAAATTATTTCTTTTATACCACTACATGTGAAATTTCTGCAATTTGATTGGCGTAGAGCAGTGGTATTTCAGCTTAATTTGAAATACCTACATGTGAAAATTACAAACTTTTTGCAGGTAGTAGTATAAACAAATAATAGCATGATTTGTACGTGATATTTGGCATAAATACCACTTGTGATATTTCAAAATTGTCTCAAATTTCACTCGCCCAACGGCTCGTGA